GCGTTTAATTTAACTTATTTTTAATTCCCTACGTTTCGATTTCTTTTTCTATAACTGCTGCGTTAAGTTATTGCACTAGGTATGTTTAAAAGCGATTTGTCATAAAGGAATAGTCGTTCAACTAACCGACTAATTAATTGGACTGCATATACGGATTACGGTTGGATGGAATTGACTTAAAAATTCATGAAATAACGTACCAATGCTTCGTTCTTTTCCCTTTTTTTCGTTAATTTTAAAGTTTTTTACTCGACTACCCAGAAGGTGGGTAATATATTTCGAGTTTATATATGACACCCGTATAGTGTGTATGTAGAATATGTATATTTTTTATAGGATATGGGTGACAAATTAGTACACAATCCACCTGATGGTAAGTGGATGCTGTGGCCCATAGGCATCTACATTTATCCTCGATTAAGAATCAAAACGCAGATGCGTTGTCAACCCTGAGGACTAAGATGGAATGCCTCGTTTCCAGTTAAAAAGGGTTTCCGGATCTACACTCACCGTATGAAACACAGCAGCATTAAGCTACTATTTTACGCTGGTATTCTGTGAAAGCGAGGTCCTACCCCGGTCGGGCCGACCCATTCGAGCTACAACCAACTAAACTACGAATTAATTAAGTTTTTCATTTGTGAAATTATTTTCAAATGGTTAGGTAAAAGAAACACTCCCAGGAGAGTAATAACCCTCTTTAAATTGAATGGCAGCATTTAAATTGGGCCAGCTATTCTGTTATCTGGCTGATTAAGCAATCGGGCAGCGACTTATCTACTTGTTAAACTTGGTGATAACGGTGAATTATTGAAAGAGACTTTTCTGTAAAATAAAATTATACGTTTAGAATTAATATGACGACTAAAATGATCTGCACAAGCGACGGACAGTATGCGGCGTATTTTTTATTTCCTTATCCCTTATTGATTCGTTACCGTGTGGGTACTTATATCTATTTCTCTGGACTCTGGTTGTCTATTATGGTTGTAGCATGAATGGGTCGGCTCGACCGGGGTAGGACCACGCTCTCACAGAATATCAGCGTAAAATAACAGCTTAATGCTGCAGTGTTTCGTATGGTGAGTGTAGAGAACCGGAGACCCGTTTTACTGGAATCGAGGCATTCCATCTTAGTCCTCAAGGGTGACCACGCATCTGCACTTTGATTTTTAATTGAGGTTAAATATGGATGTCTATGGAGCACAGCATCCACTTACCACCAGGTGGACTGTGTGCTCGTTTGTCATCTTTATTTTATAAAAAAAGTATCTGTTCGAGTTTAGCAATTTTTAACTTTCTGATGAGCTGCAGATTTGAAGTTTCTTAGATAGCTCAGAATCGGATGACAGTGAAAAATTTAAAAAAAAAATGGAAAAATAAACCAGGTGCGTTTATTAAGAAAAAATAATACATAATTTTTAAAAATTTGCCTTATTTTGTAATCAGAACACATCAAACGATATGATACAAATCATAGAACGCTTAAAAAGTACTTTCACGGCAGTAAATTAGTATGTCACTTCAGTTTAAAAAGAAAAAAATCCTAAAAAGATTTGTGCTTTCACTGCTTACGGATACGTTTTAACCGTCCTCAAAAAAGGAGGTGGTATTCAATTCGACTGTATGTTTTGTTTATGTGTGTTAGTTACCTCAGAACTTTTTTCTGGGTGGACCGATTTTGATGATTCGAATTTAAATAAGAAAATGAATTTAAAAAAAGGAGGTGGTATTCAATTCGACTGTATGTTTTGTTTATGCGTGTTAGTTACCTCAGAACTTTTTTCTGGGTGGACCGATTTTGATGATTCGAATTTAAATAAGAAAATGAATTTAAAAAAGGAGGTGGTATTCAATTCGACTGTATGTTTTGTTTATGTGTGTTAGTTACCTCAGAACTTTTTTCTGGGTGGACCGATTTTGATGATTCGAATTTAAATAAGAAAATGAATTTAAAAAAGGAGGTGGTATTCAATTCGACTGTATGTTTTGTTTATGTGTGTTAGTTACCTCAGAACATTTTTCTGGGTGGACCGATTTTGATGATTCGAATTTAAATAAGAAAATAAATTTAAAAAAAGGAGGTGGTATTCAATTCGACTGTATGTTTTGTTTATGCGTGTTAGTTACCTCAGAACATTTTTCTGGGTGGACCGATTTTGATGATTCGAATTTAAATAAGAAAATGAATTTAAAAAAAGGAGGTGGTATTCAATTCGACTGTATTTATGCGTGTTAGTTACCTCAGAACATTTTTCTGGGTGGACCGATTTTGATGATTCGAATTTAAATAAGAAAATAAATTTAAAAAAAGGAGGTGGTATTCAATTCGACTGTATGTTTTGTTTATGTGTGTTAGTTACCTCAGAACATTTTTCTGGGTGGACCGATTTTGATGATTCGAATTTAAATAAGAAAATGAATTTAAAAAAAGGAGGTGGTATTCAATTCGACTGTATGTTTTGTTTATGTGTGTTAGTTACCTCAGAACATTTTTCTGGGTGGACCGATTTTGATGATTCGAATTTAAATAAGAAAATAAATTTAAAAAAAGGAGGTGGTATTCAATTCGACTGTATGTTTTGTTTATGCGTGTTAGTTACCTCAGAACATTTTTCTGGGTGGACCGATTTTGATGATTCGAATTTAAATAAGAAAATGAATTTAAAAAAAGGAGGTGGTATTCAATTCGACTGTATTTATGCGTGTTAGTTACCTCAGAACATTTTTCTGGGTGGACCGATTTTGATGATTCGAATTTAAATAAGAAAATGAATTTAAAAAAAGGAGGTGGTATTCAATTCGACTGTATGTTTTGTTTATGTGTGTTAGTTACCTCAGAACATTTTTCTGGGTGGACCGATTTTGATGATTCGAATTTAAATAAGAAAATGAATTTAAAAAAAGGAGGTGGTATTCAATTCGACTGTATGTTTTGTTTATGTGTGTTAGTTACCTCAGAACTTTGTTCTGGGTGGACCGATTTTGATGATTCGAATTTAAATAAGAAAATGAATTTAAAAAAGGAGGTGGTATTCAATTCGACTGTATGTTTTGTTTATGTGTGTTAGTTACCTCAGAACTTTTTTCTGGGTGGACCGATTTTGATGATTCGAATTTAAATAAGAAAATGAATTTAAAAAAAGGAGGTGGTATTCAATTCGACTGTATGTTTTGTTTATGTGTGTTAGTTACCTCAGAACATTTTTCTGGGTGGACCGATTTTGATGATTCGAATTTAAATAAGAAAATGAATTTAAAAAAAGGAGGTGGTATTCAATTCGACTGTATGTTTTGTTTATGTGTGTTAGTTACCTCAGAACTTTGTTCTGGGTGGACCGATTTTGATGATTCGAATTTAAATAAGAAAATGAATTTAAAAAAAGGAGGTGGTATTCAATTCGACCGTATGTTTTGTTTATGTGTGTTAGTTACCTCAGAACTTTTTTCTGGGTGGACCGATTTTGATGATTCGAATTTAAATAAGAAAATGAATTTAAAAAAGGAGGTGGTATTCAATTCGACTGTATGTTTTGTTTATGTGTGTTAGTTACCTCAGAACTTTTTTCTAGGTGGACCGATTTTGATGATTCGAATTTAAATAAGAAAATGAATTTAAAAAAAGGAGGTGGTATTCAATTCGACTGTATGTTTTGTTTATGTGTGTTAGTTACCTCAGAACATTTTTCTGGGTGGACCGATTTTGATGATTCGAATTTAAATAAGAAAATGAATTTAAAAAAAGGAGGTGGTATTCAATTCGACTGTATGTTTTGTTTATGTGTGTTAGTTACCTCAGAACTTTGTTCTGGGTGGACCGATTTTGATGATTCGAATTTAAATAAGAAAATGAATTTAAAAAAAGGAGGTGGTATTCAATTCGACTGTATGTTTTGTTTATGTGTGTTAGTTACCTCAGAACTTTTTTCTGGGTGGACCGATTTTGATGATTCGAATTTAAATAAGAAAATGAATTTAAAAAAAGGAGGTGGTATTCAATTCGACTGTATGTTTTGTTTATGTGTGTTAGTTACCTCAGAACTTTTTTCTGGGTGGACCGATTTTGATGATTCGAATTTAAATAAGAAAATGAATTTAAAAAAGGAGGTGGTATTCAATTCGACTGTATGTTTTGTTTATGTGTGTTAGTTACCTCAGAACTTTTTTCTGGGTGGACCGATTTTGATGATTCGAATTTAAATAAGAAAATGAATTTAAAAAAAGGAGGTGGTATTCAATTCGACTGTATGTTTTGTTTATGTGTGTTAGTTACCTCAGAACTTTGTTCTGGGTGGACCGATTTTGATGATTCGAATTTAAATAAGAAAATGAATTTAAAAAAAGGAGGTGGTATTCAATTCGACTGTATGTTTTGTTTATGTGTGTTAGTTACCTCAGAACTTTTTTCTGGGTGGACCGATTTTGATGATTCGAATTTAAATAAGAAAATGAATTTAAAAAAAGGAGGTGGTATTCAATTCGACTGTATGTTTTGTTTATGCGTGTTAGTTACCTCAGAACTTTTTTCTGCGTGGACCGATTTTGATGATTCGAATTTAAATAAGAAAATGAATTTAAAAAAAGGAGGTGGTATTCAATTCGGCTGTATGTTTTGTTTATGTGTGTTAGTTACCTCAGAACTTTTTTCTGGGTGGACCGATTTTGATGATTCGAATTTAAATAAGAAAATGAATTTAAAAAAGGAGGTGGTATTCAATTCGACTGTATGTTTTGTTTATGTGTGTTAGTTACCTCAGAACTTTTTTCTGGGTGGACCGATTTTGATGATTCGAATTTAAATAAGAAAATGAATTTAAATAAGACCTGACAAGTAGTTTTTAAGTTATCCTTAATAATGCGTATTTAATTGACTTCGACACCATTGATGATGTTATCACTATTTGTATTGTAGTCGGTTGTACAAATTTTTTAATTTTACCACTTGTTATATTACTATGATGAAATATTTTATGTGTAATGTCTATCTGTTTGTGTTTCAGGGGGAGATCATAAAGAACAAAAGCACAGAAGGTTTGCCCTTCCCCATGATCTTCTCTGGCGCTATTGTCACCTTCATGTGGTTGCTGTACGGCATCATCCTGAAGAACAAGTTTCTAATTGTAAGAGATTTTTTTTTGATATTATCTAACTAACTTTTCATGTTATGTAATTACTTATAATAGACAATGTTCAATAATATACACATGGACAAGTTTAGAGGAACGCAAAAAACTGTCTATAAAACAAAACATTTTGGATATTTTTGATACTTAAGTTTATTAGTTTGCAGTGAGTTTTGCTTATTACTCGTAAATTTAAAAAATAAACATCGAAAAAACAAACGATCATAAGACAAAAACTAACTTAATGAAAAATTTAACAGAAAAGAAACATTTTTAACCGTCTTCAAAAAGGAAGAGGTATTCAATTCGTCTCTATGTTTTTTTTGTTTGTTACCTCCGAACTTTTCTCTGGGTGAACCGATTTTGATGATTCTTTTTTATTTAAATGATGGTGCTTCTCGTGTGGTAATATTTGATCAAGCTCTGACCAGTAGTTTTGAGTCATCCTTAAATAATACGTATTTAATTGACTTCGAATACATTGATTCGGTCGTATTGAAGTCGGTTGTACAAAATTATTAACTTTATCACTTGTACTCAACATTCAATTAATTTATTTCATAAATGCTTAGTAAACGCTCCAGTGTGGGCTATAATCAGTGCATCGTGTTTTTCTCTTTATGTATGTCTGTTGTTCTGTATTCGAACTGCTTCCAGTCTCCTTAGCTTACTCCTAATCAAGTTATCAATAACATCTTGAGAAATTGCATTCCATTCTTCCTGTAATGCGTTTTTGAGATCTTTTAGCAGAGGCTGGATTTTTTTTTCTTAATATGTCTTCCAAGCTTATCCCATACACTTTCTATGGGGTTAAGTGCGGCGAGCGCGTTGGCCATCCCATAACATACATTGATTTCAAAGTCTTGAAAGTATTCAACTACCACGGCCACAGTATAGGGGCGTGCATTATCATGCATAAAAACTAATATCTCCTACAGAAGGGGCAAATGGCACTACGACTTCCGCTGTAAAATGTCGTGCCTATGTTAGGGACCCATTCTCAATGACGCGGAGTTCTGTACGTGCCCCATACCATAACTGACTCTCCATCATATGTCTCTTTTACAATGATGTTGCACTGAGCGTACCTATCACCCGGGCGTCTCCACATCTTAAAATTTCCATCATTTGGTTTCAGGCAAAATCTGGACTCGTGTGTAAATAGAACTTGACTTAAAGCTTCGTTATTTAAATTTTCGTGATTGCGAGCGAAATTAACTCTGAATTACGATGGCATGTAGCAAGAAGGGGCCTCTGGCAGACGAGTGTGAACGCGACCGGCCGAGTTCAGTCTTTTTCTCACAGTTTTTGGTCTTACTGTAAAGCCTCGAACTTTTTGGGGCTTCGTAATTACCTCAGAAGTAGTTAAGGTCTGGTTTCTAAGCACGCTTGTAACGATGAACCGTTCATCTCTTGCCACAGTCTTCCGTTTGTAGTTTTGCCCAGTTTCAATTAAAGTAACAGCCTTAGCAACTTGAGTGGTGTTTAGATCTGGTATTCTGAGTTAATTTTCAGTAACAACTCACACTTGATAAACAAGGCAGTTGAGGCAAAACATTAAACGAAATCTAAAAGGAATTAATTTGTATTATGCTATTTGTTTAATAATACAATACTTTAATTATGATAATGTAATAACTATTCATACTCATAATTATCATATTAAATCTTTTTATAATTACTTGTGTTGTTAGGAAATAAATTTTAATTTAATATTTGCATGCCAAAGTGGTAGAATGTACGGATCTTTTAGGTACTCTGTAAACATCTTATTGTAAATACCCAAAAAAAATCAATTTAAAGGCACAAAAATAAAACCAACAATAGTTATTATTATTATTATTATTAAATTTAAACTCAAATTCAAAAAATGACAAATTTTTAAAATAAAATAAATGAAATTCGAAAAAAAAATATTCCCAATTTTTTAAAATAGAATTCAGTAAATTATTTTATTCAACACCCACGATAATTACAACAGGAGAAATTTAACCCTGTTATTTTACGTTCCTCTAAATTTGTCCATGAGTGTATTTATTCCTCTTCAACAGCCAGTAAAAGTGGGCGTGGGACTAGTTGTAGGGAGGATTTGCCTCCTTAATCGTAACGCTTGACAGGCTTGACGCTCCTGCTTAATGTATTTCTGTCCATCAATCCATCTATCCATTACAGTCTATAAAAGTCCACTGCTGAACATAGGCCTCCCCTATAGATTTCCTCATTGCCACAGGAGGGGGCAATTTGCCATAGTTGTCACGCCTGGCAACCGGGTTGGCAACCGCAGTGTTTTACCCTTTTGGAGTGTTATCAGCAAGACGCTGGTGCCCATCTTCTGGTATGTTTCCCACTGTTGGCCCTTACGACGTCCACGGGACGATATGGAGTAGTCGATATTCTTACACCGCCACTACACGGGATCTGTTACATATAAATTACGTGGTAGAGCCACGCTGCAGCACGGTGTCGGCTCCACCGGGAAACGACACGGAAACCTTTTTTACTGATTACAAGGCATTCTACCTTTTTATCAATTGTGACAACGCATGTACATTTTGATTCTTAATCGTCGATAAATAAAAGTGCCTATAGGCCACAGCTCACAACATTCACTTACTATTTACTACTTCTGGACCATGTGCTTATTTCTTACTACCTTACCTTATCTACTGCTATAAACATATGTTTCCCGATAATAAATAAATCTCTAGGGTATTGAAAAGAATAGGCAAAAGGGCCTTATCTTTGTTAAGAGTATTTTAACTTTTAATAATTGCAGAATTTATAAAGGCGTACCTAATAATATTGCCCTTTTGTCGTTCGCATTCGCGTATCTAAGACGTTGTATCTATAACGTCTTAGATAACACGTGAAGTGGTAGAATAGTTCTTATCAAAATGATAAGATAAATGGGATTAGTGAGCAAGTGGTATACTAACCGAATTATGTGGCGCATCGAGAGAATCCATCGTCTTGTTTTTTAACACTAAACTGCTTAATTATATCTGTTGTATAATATTGCATAAATTCTTGAGAATATGTTTTAAAGTTTACAGCAAATATCCATAATAAGTATTTCGGATTGCAATTCTAACAATCTTTAATTTATTCCAAGCTTTCTGTTCAGAGTGGAAAATCGTTTATAAACATGTAAAGTTCTTTATAGTTCTAAATTAGCTTGGTCTGTTGTGAATATTTGTTATAATAAGCAAAAGACAAAAGGAAGTAGTCACTATCATGTTCTTCGGTGCTTGCTGAAGAGTGGCAGTTCTTTGCCTTTCAGAGTCTCCGGGTAGAAGAACCGGACACTCTACAGACACGGACTCGTCTGTTATCTGTATGACTACTGATCCGCGATTTGTCAAAGAAGAGACAGTTTTGCCAAATGTTTTGCCGGAGCTTAGCCCACTGTAATCTATGTCGCTGACATTGCCGTAATTCAGAGGTGCTTCCCTAGACCTCCCTGTCAGGGAGTCCCTGATCGTACTCCAGCCTGGTGTATGCAATTGAGTCAGACTGCTAACTTCAAGTGCAAGGTCGCGGGCTACCAACAAACTGATATAGCGCTTCTGAGCAGTAGTCAGACCAGTTGAGCGACCACTGCTAGGTCGGTCAGCTAAATTATCCATGCCGTGGTATCTCTGCAACGTAGCCACAGTACAGGATTGGGACGCAGCAACTCTGCGTGCTATCTCTCTCGAGGAATATTCTTCTTTCCTAAAAGTACAAATCTTGCTCGTAAAACTCTACTGATAATCCTCTTGGCATTTTTTCAATCACAACTTTCCTCAAAATCATTAAGCTATTATGTACTACGTACTAGAGTAGACACTGCATTCAGCTACTCTGTTCCACTCAACTGCGGTGCATGCACTGCACTTTAATCAGTCACTCGCTAGACGCTTGTAGAGTTGTCACGTGTTGTGTTGATTTAAAAAAATATCTCTTGATAAAAATATGCCGTCTTGTGTACTTAGATATTGCACAAATAATTCAAGAAATGTCTGTAAAAACCAAGGAATTACTTTTCATCGGTTAATAAGATACTTATTCAATAAAAAGTATTATAAATTAATAATAAAACAAATTATTCCTAAGACGCCATTTCGTATCATTGAATATAGATTATGAAATTAATATGTTCAGATGCGACATTTCTGTGGGTACTTAAGTTTAGGTCGAATATATTATTATACACATTTTTTTATAGAAACATATAAGTTATTATAATTAGGCTAAATATTTCATGTTTAAATCTGCTTATTATTCTTTTATTTTATTTTTAGGTTTCCACTTCAAAGTCAAAGTGGAATAAATTCGTCCATTTTTAAATCTCGGGTGCTCAGCATTTATGAACGATTATTTACAGCATTTATGATTCTAATTTAAATAAATATATTTGTAATTTAAATTTTATGTTAATAAGTTTTGTTAAACATACATTTAGTATGTTTTTTTATATTTGACATAGATACCTTTTAAAATATTCAGATAAAAATATCATTAAAATGTAATTGTGATATAATATTATGTAATATTATATTAAATAAACAAATATAATATACAAAATAAATGACAAAATTTAAATATTGTTCTGGATATAATTTAGCTATTTAACAATACTATCCACTATTACCTACGGATCATTCTACCTATGTTTATTCTATGATAAAAAAACCAACCGCGCGAACACAGAGTAGCGCACATTTTTTGTTTGAGATAGCTGTTCTAGTACGTAAGTACATATTACTTCAATGCTCAAAATAATATTTTAAATCCGTTAAAATTGACTAAGTCAGATTTCTGAATGAGCGTAAGCATGAATTGATTTTTTTTGTATATGCAAAAACAATTGAATTTGTTTTACTGTTTCATATTCTAATTCTATATTATTAAGTAAATAATCTTAAAAAAAATAAGAAATCATAATATAGTCTACCGTAACATAAAAGATTTCGATTTTTCAAACTGATTGCAAACTTTTTTTTCGTTGTGTGTCCTAATCCTAACATTGTTCCTCGAATCTTTATAACGAAAGTCGTAGTATACCGCGACGGTTTTCTGACAGGTTTACTAAACATATTTCGTATTATTATTGACTTGGCGCAACAGACCGTTTAGAAACCCTTGCAGTAAGAATAATAACTTCGGGAGTTCATTGTAGTGACATTTGAAACGTTTGTGTATTGGGAAGTTTTATTTTTCTTTCTGTTCATTCAAAAGGATTAGCAAAGATGTTTGGATTATACAACCATACGTTTTTTTCCACAGATACAAAACTTCGTTGCTGTGGGGCTCTGCGCAATTCAGCTTTCACTGTTCGTCATCTATCCATCCAAACCTGTTGGTAAAGCGAGGGCAAAGGCACAGGCTAAGGCGAAAGCAAAGAAAGCTGATTAGACGGCTGGTATCAAATAGGACATTAGTAATTTCAATTTGGAGGGAACGAGGTAAGAGTTTTGGGGGCTAGAGAGGAGTTTTAGCGGTTTGCTACTCCTGTATTATCTATATATGATTATCAAGTATATATATGTTAAATTTTGGTACGTAAACATGGTGCGATGTGTAAAGCCTGCGAATGTAAACTATCAGTGAAAACAATGGAATAAGTTCTCCGATTGTAACATGACCTGATGAAACTTAAATTGTTGAGTCCATTTTGGTGTGTTGTGATATCTTGCCTATCTTCATCGACTGTCTACTGTCACCTGTTTTCAAAATCTAAATTTTTTGCAATATTACGCCTCAAGATTTTTTAAATGAATTGTAAACATACCTATCATACAAGACTTAATGGGCGCAGATACCTTTGCATTTAAATCATTAAAAAAATTGCATTTTTCTTCTCTTTTTATCACGTTATATAATTGTGAAATTGACGCTATAAATATGCATTTATACGTCTACTATTGTAGCATTATTCTCTATTTTTGTTTTATTTATTTTTAGTAAAACGCAACAAAGTTGCAAAATATTGTGATTAACGTTGTCAACGAAGATGTGTATTTTTATGCAATGAACCTTTGAAAACCAATTAAATTAGATATTGTCTATTTTTGATAACGATAGTCCATTGTTCGCGTGTTACGTGTTTATAATATTATGTGTTGCAAATAAAGAACAAATTTTGTATTTCGTATTGTTGTGTTGTGAGGCTGCATAAAATTTCATCTTAACATTCATTCTATAATAATAATTAATTCATAAAATATTCGATGTTTTTGTTTAAATTAATTAATTTAAATATGACGAAAGTGAGATGGTCCATGCCCATAATAATGATTTTATACCATTGTACAGCCCTAATAATTTTTAATTTTACGTTATTTTGGTAAATTATAAGACAGCTTTAAGGCTAGAGCTTCCTTCTTTGTTGAATGTATATATATATTTATAGAATAAAAAGAATAAAACTGTTTAATACCTCGGCAACATTTCAAGTACCATTCCATTAAATACTTGTTGTATTATAATTGTTTTATTTTTCTCAGTAGGACATACATTAAACCCAAAAACTAAATTTATAAGATATGATATGAAACAATTGTTTACTACCAATTCAATGAATATAAAATAAATACGAATGAACAGTTTATTAAATTTTTACAATTTTGCTTCTTTGTTTCATTTTAGTACAGATATAATCTTTCGTGTACTTTTATGGAAGTTTCACTTAAAAGTTGTCTCTTTATTCTTTACCCATAATAAAGAGTCTACATAAAAATTCCGTTTGCTACAACTTCGAATAACTAAACAGAAATTAGTTTTCAATTGTATTGTAATAGCTACTGAATAGACATATTTCAATCGTGAATGATCCGTTCATTTGACCCGGATCGCTTCAAAGTATTTATGATTACAATTACATTTTTCGAACTTTTTTTATCTAACGATTGACAGCAACTATGACCACAGAGTATAGTAATGTCCGACGATCGATTTTATCGAGTGGCTCTCATAGATCACAGGGTACTGAAACTCGAGATTATACATTTTAATGATCGACCCCAATGATCCGGTTAGTAAAACGAATCAATACTTGCATAATCGGATCACATAGAGAAATGTATGAATGACGTATGTCTACTACTGAAATCGGTGTAGGTGCCACATTATTCCACGTGAGGCCAAACACGCGCTTTGTAAAGTTGCAAGCGATGTGCCGACATGAAGTACTGTCCCGCTCGGGTGAGCACGCCAAGCTTTTTAGAGACCAATTTGGCCTTCCCTTCCAGGTGACCACTAAACTGCACACTAATTGACAACACAAACAAACATCACTTCCTTGGGAAGCCCATAGTAACGGAGCTCCGAAAAAAGCGCTTTGTGCCAGACCCGATCAAAAGCCAATGTCCAAAATCGCTATGTCCAAACTAACGGCCAATGCCTCCCGCTTTGACTCTACTACCTCCGCTTATCTATGAGTTAGGTAGACCAGAAGATTACCAGCTGATCGACACCGACGAAAACCGTATTGGTCACTAATCAACTGGTGATCCTCAAGGTAACTCATGAGCTGGCTGTTAATGTATTCCATTATTTTGGGAATTGGTCGTCTGTTTTAGGAATCGGGTGGACCAAAGCTGATTACCATGAATTCAGGACTACGCTTTGGGTGTAGGAGTGCCGGAAAAGACGCGTCCAAAACGGTGCCAACTTTGGAGCACACGTCTTCAGCTCAATGGAAGGAACTCCATCACGCTCACTTAACTTGTTGACGTCTAGGGACAGGAGTGCTTTGCGAACCGAACGCTGTGTAAATAGCAAATGCATCCAATAAAGCACCGGGGGATGGTCCGCGGTATGTTCTCCCCATCATCTAGGGTTGAGTTGGACGCATAGAGAGAGATCGGCTTTCTCCTTTGCGACATGGGCCAGTGAGTCATCCTCACAGTGCAGAGATGGTAGAGATGACTGACAGAAGCTACCTCGGGACGTTGATCAGTCAGCCCAGTCCTAGCAGCACTCCTGCTTATAGCGTAGCAACCAAACCAGGACTGGTATCTACCTCCGATGGGCACCACAGAAGATGAAACAAATAATTCCATACCCTGAAGTACCACACCAGCTACAGAATCAGAAACAACTCTGGGATCGTCCGGCGAGAAGCAAAACCCGCCCCCAAGTAAGATGCAAAAAAGACCGCATCCTATCCCAATCGCCCGACCTATAGTGACAAACACGGTGGCAGCCTTTAGAATGAAACCGCGATGTTAGTGTGAGCGACAGCACACTCCGGGCAGACAATAAAATTTACACACACAAAAATATATATATATATATATATATATATATATATATTATAGATATAAATATGAAATCCGATATCCGTCCGGATGCGAGGTCAGCAGAAGGTTCAACAGGGAAGGTGGCATGATCCTCCTCATCTGAAATCCGCGTAGGCGAAGTAACCAGTTGTGTAAGTACATATGCCATGGCAAAGTTATAAACAAGTCTCCCCGCATGATCGGTTAAACGTGAACCGAGCCATTCGGCGTGGTGGGCGTTAACATCGCCAAGGATTTCTGCTGAAGCAGGGAAACTGTAGCCATTTGGACGAGGTCGATGTGTCAGTCTATTTTGGCATTACTGCTATGGGAACTATAGAGGCACCCGTAGACGCGGGAATGGTCGTTGCTGTCTACGCGCAGCCATAGAATGGATAGGCCTGTACCTTTAAGACTGCTGAGGCGTCGAAAACAGATGTAATCCCTGATGTATACGGAAACTCTAGCACAGGGCACAAAGGAGTGTTCTAATTTGTACCTCGGGTAAGAGAGATATGAAGTATCAGTCGGAGAGGACACCCGAATTTCGGTTAAAAAGAGCAAGTCCGGCTTCGCCGTCTCCAGATGGTAGCAGTCAGCGTTAAGGTTTGAATGAAGTCCCCTGATGTTGCAAAAATTCACGTAGGTACAGCGTGACAGGGATCGCCTTGGTCTTACTGATCCGCTTGCCCCGGGCAGTTTTAGTCGCGAGCGAAATGTCGCTCCCCCCTCTTAAGAATACGTGGAGCAGGTTGAGAACCCACGATCAGGAAAAGTAGGGTAGCTTGGGCGTGGATTCTCAGCAGGGGATTCTCCATCATCGGAGGTGCTGGTATCCTGGGGTAGTTTATTAATTTGATTACGCTACCATTTTAAGGGGGAGGGCGGAATTGGGCCTCCGGTCACCTGCAGCCAAGCGAAACGCAAAAGGAAACTTCTACTTCACGCTGGTATTCTGTGAGGTCATAGTACCAACCCATACGGCTCATCCGTGCGACAGTTAAAGCTGCCGCGTGGCTCCATCACGTTTGGTAAAAATTTCTAAACTATTATTAAATATTAAATTTAATATTTAATGTTTTCTAATAAACCTAGTCTTTGACATGCTGCACGATGTGTTTCACAACGTTGACAGTTCTTAGATCGTCAAAACACGTCGAGCCACGAATAGTGCGTAGTAACAAAAGTAAATAGATGCATTCAACGTTTTTTGGGTGCACTCTCCCTATGGTATTATTATGAAACACTACATCGTGTCCTCGCACTGGCATTCCACGTTTTCGAGAGATAAATCTTTTACTTGATTTGTCCGAAGTGTAGTAAGATGGTAATTCCGAGTAAAGTTTTAGCAAATTTACGAGGGTGGATTGAAAAGTACTCGGCCTAACCAAGAAAATAAACACATATTAAATCAGTTATATTTTTATTTTTCTACATAATCACCATCAAGTTCAATACACTTTTGCCACCTCCCCTTCCAAGCATTTAGACCGTTGAAAAAAAATGATTCTTCCTTGGAGTCAAAATATGCGTCTACAGCTGCTTTGACCTCGTCGTTTGTCGAAAATCTTTGACCTCCCAAGTGCTTTTTTAGGTTAGGGAACAGAAAGAAGTCTGATGGTGCCAGATCAGGTGAATACGGCGGATGCGGTAACAGTTCAAAGCCACAGTTGTGAATTTCAGCCATTGACTGTACTGACGTGTGAACACGGGCGTTATCTTGATGAAACAGGACTTTTCTTCTGAGCATTTCTCGACGTTTTTCTTTTATTTCCTCTCGTAAACGACGTAGTAAGGTGCAGTAGTAATCAGAGTTTATAGTGTGATCCCTTTCACGATAATCAATCATAATCACACCTTTCGAGTCCCAGAATACTGAAGCCATCACCTTATTTGCCGACAAAATCGACTTAGCCTTTTTTAGGGGGTGGTGAACCAGGTCTTCTTCACTGTTTTGATTGTTGTTTTGTTTCTGGTGTACAGTAATGAACCTATTATTCGTCCATAGTAACAAAACGATTCAAAAAATCATCTGCATCGGCTTCAAATAACTCCAAACAGTCGCGTGAAATAGTGAATCGCGTCCTTTTTTGTTCAACTGAAAGCAGTCGCGGAACCCACCTCGCAGACACC